GCTCATCAGTGCTTAACAACAATAGGGTCACTATAAGTTGGAAGACTCAATGACACTTAACAACAATGCCAGTAAAGAAATAATAGATAATGATCATTTAGTTTGATTTTGAAATAAAGGAGGGGACAGCCACCACCACCATAGATTGAAGGGATATTCTTAGAACCAAATTCATGGCTTCTTTTCCTTCTTGGTGACTAGGCAATGTGGATAAAACTTAAATATGTTTTGACCTTCAAACCAGTAGATGAAAGGAAGAAGAAAGGTCTATTAAAATTAGGTTAATGAAGAGCAAGATGAAATTAAACAAGTTGCTGATAACTGCTGAAATCCAGAGGAAGAACATTACCATTGTCTGTCTCTATACTGGAACTTTTCTTAAGAAGCAAGCAGACAATAATAACTTTTTCTAATTTTATTTTCATGAAGCAGTTTGCACTGATTGGGTCACTGTCACAGTCTTGAATGCTATCAGTTAGCTACTGCTGAGATGCACCTGCAGGGTGTTCATGTCACTATTAAAAAGACATCAACAGATTTTTGACCAAGGTGCAAAAATAATTCAACGGTGGGAAGAAAGATTTTTAAGTAAATAGTGCTGTAACAATTAGACATCTATAGCAAGAAAAGTGAAGTTCAATCTAAACATCACACCTTATTAAAAAATTTACCCAAAATGAATGATAAACTTAAGTAACATGAAACTATAAAAATAAATAGTAAAAAAAAAATTTGAGTAGAAGGCTAAGCAGAATTAAATTAGATACCAAAAGCACATATTTTTACAAGGAAAAATTCATAAATTGCATCTCATAAAAAAAAAGCCCTTATTAAGAAGATGAAAAGACAAATTATAAAGTGGGAGAAACTGTCTGTAAACCATAAATCCCACAAAGGTCTACTATCTAGAATATGTAAAGAATTCTCAAATCTCAACAGTAGAATAAACTCCAAGCAATGAACTCCAAAAATGACATGAACAGACATTTCACAGAAAAGGATATAGAGATGTTCATCATCATTCGCAATTTTGTTCTTTTTAGGTACCATCAAGTTGGTTCTGACTCATAGTGACTCTGCACAAAAGAACAAAACCCTGCCCAGTCCTGGGCCATCTTCACAATTATGTTTGAGCCCATTGTTGATGTCACAATCATCTTTTTTACTGACCCTCCACTTTCCCTCACTAGCCATTAGGTTATACAAATTAAAATCACAATCTGATAGCACTACATACTTATCAATGGCTAAACAAAAATTAGCAATAGCACCAAATGCTAGGAAAGATGTGGAAAAACAAGGCCACAAATATTCCTGGTGAGAAGATATAACTACTCTGGAAAACAGTTTCTTATAAAACTAAACATGCAAATACCATATGATCTTGGAGCCCAGTGGCTCTATACTATGAGCACTGGACTGTGAATGACAAGGTTGGTGGTTTGAGCCTACCAGCAGCTCTGTGGGAGAAAACTAGGCTTTTTGCTCCCTCACAAATTTAAAGGCTCAGAAACGCTGTACAGGATCACTATGAGTTGGAATTGACTTGACAGTAGGAATTGTTAAGTTGACTTAACATCAACTACAATCATATGACCTAGTAATTACACCCTTGAGCACTTAGCCTAGAGAAATGAAAACTTATGTTTATACAAAAACTTGTACACAAATGTTCATAGTCTCTTTATTTGTAATAGTGAAAAACTTGAAACAATTAGATGTCCTTTAATGAAGAATGGTTAAATAAACCGTGGTATATCCCTACTATGGAATACTACTCAGCACTAAAAAGGAACGAAGTAAATTTTTTTTTTTTTTATTGTGAGTTGGGTGGAGGTTTAATGAGAAGATCATAAGTTTTACATTTGACATTTTGTTTCATCTCAATGATTGCAGTCCCCTCTGTGCAGTAACAGTGATCCCACTTTCTACCTGTTCTACCTGTGGTTCTATTTCCATTCCACCCATCTTCCCATCCTTTCTTAATTTTGTCCTTAGGTAAATGCTTCCTTTTTGATGTTAAATTATTGACTATTCCATGGTGAGTATACTTCACTAGTGTTGTCGCCCCCACATCTCTAAATACCACTTG